ATATATTATTCTTAGCTGATGACTATATTCTTAGTTGATGACTATATTCTTAGTTGATGACTATATTCTTAGTTGATGACTATGTTCTTAGTTGATGACTATATTCTTAGTTGATGACTATATTCTTAGTTGATGACTATATTCTTAGTTGATGACTATGTTCTTAGTTGATGACTATATTCTTAGTTGATGACTATATTCTTAGTTGATGACTATATTCTTAGTTGATGACTATGTTCTTAGTTGATGACTATATTCTTAGTTGATGACTATATTCTTAGTTGATGACTATATTCTTAGTTGATGACTATATTCTTAGTTGATGACTATATTCTTAGTTGATGACTACATTCTTACTTGATGACTACATTCTTACTTGATGACTATATTATTACTTGATGACTATATTATTACTTGATGACTATATTATTCTTAGTTGATGACTATATTCTTAGTTGATGACTATATTCTTAGTTGATGACTATATTCTTAGTTGATGACTATATTCTTAGTTGATGACTATATTCTTAGTTGATGACTATATTCTTAGTTGATGACTACATTCTTAGTTGATGACTATATTCTTAGTTGATGACTATATTCTTAGTTGATGACTATATTCTTAGTTGATGACTATACAATAATACTATATGTATATCTGTTGCTATACTATGACTATATAATACTATTAGTTGATGACTATATATGAATATTTCCGGTGAGTCGTATTAGTCATATGAATCATATTTTAATCATATTAATCATATTATAGTAATATTGGCAATGTTAGTCACTGTTATGGTTATTATGTATGATCATTCATGTTGATTACTGGTGTGACTATCATTATTGTCAATAGTGCAAATAATTATGATCTCCGAACATTAAAATTCATGATACTTCAGAAGTGAACTAAGTAACCTCATCAGATCTACAATGAATATGGACATATATCATATATATGGACTAAAAATGGTGATGTTTTCTTAATGATTACGAATGGTGATACCAGTCATGTAGCTCAACTATGGCCAGTGGATTGTTGTCCCCAAAGGATGCCTCAAAGAATTCCAGCAGTTAGGAAAAATGTTCGGCAAAACCAGTGACTCAGATCTACTTTATGTATCTTTATGTGCTAGAAATTGCTAGAATATCATAGAATATCTTGCAATAGATTCAATAGATGTTGACTCAAGTGCAAGTTCAAGGCATACAGTGGCACCAATGCTCTGAACGTGTCTGGAAGCTGCAACCTCAGAGTGTGCATGTACTCAACAAACGCTTGAGAGAGTCAGGACAAGCGAGCTGCGCGAAAAGTTGTACACCGAACTATAAACCAAATAGAATACCCGCGCCCGTGAAACATACATCTTCTCCAAACCGATGCAAACGTGTTTGGTCAATCCGGCCAAAACAATGTTGGACATCTCTGGCAATATTGATGACATATTGACAGGATTGGATTTTTAGCCGTCAATTCCAAGCACAAGTTTAAGATGTTCAAGCCGCGATGACAGTCGTATTGAAATTTACGAGGGGATTTTTCATCTCCCTGGCCTGTCACTCATGATACTCATGGTGACATCTCGACATCTCGACATCTCGACATCGACCACGGCCGTCCTCTGGGTAGTAGAGCGTGAGGTAGGAGTCAAAGTCCGGACTTCGGTGGCGGAGCCGTGGGACATGGATGGACAATGGATGGACATGGATAAGCCATGTGGAGCCATGGGTCAGGGCTGTGGGGTTCCCCAGGGGTTCCTCAAACACCTCAACATCCCAGAGGAATCCGCGCCTGCTGATGCTACTGCCGGCATGGTTCACACATTGGATGGTAGCCTTTGAAAGCGGGGTCGATAGGAAAGTCAGCCATCATTTACCCAGTGATACCACTGAAGGATTCTACTTTTCTGCGTCTTAGGGGAGAATCTAGAGATCTAGACTCTTTTTTATCGTGGTGGCAAGCTCGATTATCTCCTGCTGGGTGACACATCGTTTTTACACGCTATCTACAGTGGTGAAAGTGATTTTAAAAAAGCACAGTCTGAACATGGGGGCTCACCCTGAACTTTGATGCAAAGTGGAAGAATGTCGCATCTAATGCAAGTCACACGTATTTCATCGTATTTCCGTATTTCATAGTTCATTTTGTAACAGAGTCTATACAGGATATGCTCTAAGATTTCATGATTTTCATGGAGAATCATGGAGATACTTGGTCGACATACAGGACACGCAGCTCCATCAGACTTGACGTTGCTTCTCCCTTCAAGCCCAAGGGGCTTGGTTTCGGGAAGCACAACGAAAACTGAATGAAACATTTCTCAAGCACCGGCTCTTTCCTTGGAAGTGAAGCCAGAATCACAGAAAAACTTTGTTCTCTGGCTCACTCCAACTTTCGGCAACTTGTGGATACTTAGAGACGTTCGCAAACAATTGTTCAAAGCCACGAGGAGGTGGAGATTTGCGCAGTTTGTTGGACATGCCTTGAGATTCCGAAAGCATGGCTGCTTGAGCTTCGAAAGCTGCTTGATGTTGACGAAGGACATTCATCACTGTCTGATGACTTTGGGACTTGGCAAAGTGATGGGCTGTGCGACCCCAGATGTCTCTCCTATTGGGATTTGCACCCAAGGCCAGAAGTCGGGCACAAATGTGGGGATCGTTCTGCTTCCCTCATGAATTGGATAGGTCACCCACCATGATCCTCTCTTCTCGTTGGGTCCATCAAGCTTTGGTGCCCAGATTGTACCGCTGCCATTGGCCCATTGGTGGATAAGGGATTGGCCTGGCCGACCTGGGAAAAATCTACAGTCGCAACATTCGAAACATGCGAGATCTATCGACAGAGCTTGACCAAGACAAGGTTTCGTTGTGCAGAAGGCGACGAGTTAATTGATGTTAATTGGCTGTCTAACTACAGTCAAGATCAATCAAGTACGTATATCAGTGATATCACTGTATACCTCTATCTTTCTCATTCTCTCGCTCTCCAACAATGGATTGGCTTTGCATTATTCTGGCGCAGACTGGTCTGGAATGTGGATGGCCCACCCTGAGCATCCAGACGGCCAAAGGAGGAATTGGTTTGCACCTCGTTGCAACATGATTTTCCATGGGATTTTCCATTCTGATTTGCTTTCCATTCCCATGGAAACATTGGACAGTACCTGACATACTACAACTCTACAGAAGAATCAACCAACAGGGGTCTGGAAGCCTCCTCAAATGTATATAAACTATGCAGAAATCATCCGAAATTGAGGCTAAATCGTTTCTTCTCATTGGCGATAGTGATTTCACAGGTGACACAGTAAGAATTACGATGCTTCCGGATGGCCCGTTGACCCCAACAGAGTCTCATCAATTCGGTCATCGGTCCTTTCTCCATGTTTTCAAGCACTGCACTTTCGCAGGCGCAACGAATGACATGTTTGCACTCGCGACGCACTCGCGACGCACTCGCGACTTGGGACTTTCTGAACGGCCAAGTTTGTGCAGTGTTGGAGACTCTGCCAAACCTCTCATCGTCCAAATCCAAGGCAAACAAATGAGATGCTGAGCCCAGGGCAAACAATCATAGAGTGTCTTGACCTGTAATGATAGCCATCCAGCCTTTCCTGCAACGTAGCCAGCCCTGGTGCTAAAGCAGTGAGACAAAACATTTCGAGTATTTTCGAGTGCTCGGTTTTCAAGCAACTCCAGCATCCAGCTGAAGGTTCACCATAAGGCACAATGGGCAGAGTCAGCATTCATGCAAATTCACATCAACAATCTCATGCAACAAAAATCTGCAACGTTCTGAAACACAGAACTTAATCAACTTAATCTGAATGCAGTTTCATCATGTCTGAAAGAACTCTCACAACTGGACTGGTATGGAATGCGCAGGAAGCGCAGGAAGCGCATGACTCAGCGCGACTTTGGTCGTGGTGCTTCGGAAAGGCCTGATGGATTCGCATCTCCGTTGGCTTTGGATACATTTTGTCAAATTTCGCAACCCAAAAATAGTTCAGCGTGTTTCCGGGATGGTATAAATCATATTTTCCCAAGGATATAATATAATATATATATATATACCATAATATATCTCTTTGGTGGTTTTCTATACCATAAAATCATGGTGGTCGAGCCACCAATCTCCATACTGTGGGATTTGTAGAGGCGGCTTTCCTGCGGAGCCAGCAAGTCTGGAAAAATGTTGGATGAAATCCTGCACCACCAATTTGGGATGGTTGAAACCCCAACAAATCATGGGAGAATCATGGGAAAAACCATCAACTGGTGCAGTTCATTTCTGAAACAGAGTTCCAAAATGTTCCAAAGATCCCATCAAGGCCCCTGAAAAACCATAGTGCCATAGTTTGTTTCATACCCACCATGGTTTTTTTTCAGGATCTTTTATTGGGGGAAGGGATGGACATGGACATGGACGAACGACTTGGACCCAGGAACCATCCCCAATCCCCACCGCGCATTTTTCGCTACGTCCAGGGGGACAAACATGGTCAGAGCCTGAGAATCTTTTGACGGATTCAAACAAAGAAATATATTAGATATATTAGATATATAATAATATTATATATATATTACATATTATATTATACATATTATATTATATTAATATATTATATTAATATATTATATTAATATATTATATTATATATATATATATATTATTTTATATATATATATATCATTTTCCCAAGAGAAAAGAGGCAGTCACTACGGTGGGACAGCCTTTGACTATCGTTACTATCGCTCATCCCCTCGGATTACTCGCTAATTTTCTACATTTTGAGCATCATTTGGTAGAAATGTTGGTGGAAAATGACTGGTTGGTGCTTGATTTCTACCATTTTCTACCCCTCTGAAAAATCATGGAGTGAGTAACAGTTGGGATGATGACATTCCCAACTGAATGGGAAAATCAAAGCCATGTTCCAAACCAGACTTGGAGAAGGCCTAAAGGGCCTAAAGTATACTGAAGTTGGTGTGTTTCAGATCTCCAGGGGCAGCGAACTGCAAAATTCGTCCTTCTGACTGCTTTCCCTGAGTTGTCTCTCCAGTTGTGCAGCAAAGCTCCGGAAGAGGCTCTGCACACCCTGCAGCTGTTGCCGTTTCCTCGGAGTTTCAGGCCTAAAACGCTAAAGCCGCCATCGCGCCAACCCATGCAACACGTGCTTTTTTTTGACACGTCACATGGATACATCACGATGCATCAAATGTTATCAATATGTTGCAATATAGTATGATGTTACTCAGAGATGATCAGAATGGATTCTCAGCTATGGTCAAGGAAATCAAAAGCCACATCCAAGGGATAGTAGGGGAGAGGGTTTGCCACAGTCACATTGACTACCTGACCTGGTTAGAGCTCAAATTCTGGGAGTGTAAGCACAAACTTGGTCGCAAGATGTCGCAAGCATCTTTTCTTGAACAACAAAGTAACAAAACTGAATAGAGATTGCTGGAGGATGGTGCCGCCCTGTTATAAGTTGGTTTATAACCCCCATTGACTATAGCTATATCTACCATCAACCATCGGAAAATCCATTCCTTTGGGTCAAAAACCATTGACATTCAGCTCGGTGTCGCGTCCACCTTGACCTTGTGGCCAAGCACTTTGCTTTCAACGCCCGCAAAGGTCCTGAATCATTGCTACACTGCGAATCATTGCTACATGTATAACATCTTTTTATTGGCACATACATATGAGTCACAATCAAACAGATAGCCATCGTGGATGGCAATCCTTTTTTGGAATCTCTCAGGATTCGTGGATGAATGCGAATAACATGAGCACCAGGGCACTTAGAAATCGCCAAGTGAGTCAGTATCAACGCCCTCTTGGGCATCATGTCACCCAGTAGTTTTACATTTAGAAGATCAATCTGGGTGATGCCTAAAGTTGGCCATGTGCGCAAACATACCAGTCCTCATATGGAGGTTTCCTGAAATGGTAGGTACCCTTGAATCATCCATGTTCATGCGTATTTCAATGGTTTTTTATGGTTTTTTTCCATAGGTTTTCCATGAAATAGACCATCCAGCTATTGAGGTACTCTCCTCCAATGGCTGAAGATCTCCAGCTGCATATCGCTATGGTACTGCTTCTCAAGGCCCTCAGTTTTGAACAGCTGAGACAATTTGAAGAAAACACGGGTATAATATGGTATAATTCAGTATAATGGCTATCCAGATGATGAGAATCTCATTGGTCCATCCAGCTGCATCAAATTAAGCAGTAGAAAGAGTGACCAAACTGCTACAGCCTCTCCTGCAGTCTTGGACATTTTACCCGGAGGGGTAGCACAAGCTTGCACCAAACGATAAATAAATATCCTGTGTGACATCTGACATCTGACCACACAGGAATACCTCATACATCCTACATCAACAGTATATCCACTATCTGAACCTTCGAATTTGCCTCAGAATCCCCCATCTAACAGGTGTTGCCCGACCTGGACCAACAAGTGGTTGTTGTTGCGACTCCGTTGACGCACCGCCTCGATCCTTTGCTGCTGCTGCTGTAAGAGGCCCTGCAACTGCCCTTCACCATGGCTTTGTTGGACCAGCGTCACCTGGGACATCTCGAAGTCTTTTTTTGGGGGCCCACAACGGAAGGATGAAGTTGGCGCAGATAACTCCAATGGTGGTTTAATGGCATTTAATGGTTGAATGGGATTTTATGGTGGTTTAATAGGATCTAATGAATCTAATGGGAATTTTAATGGCATCTGGTTGGTGGTATACCTACCCCTCTGAAAAATATGCGAAAGTCAGTTGGGATGATTATTGCCAATATATGGAAAAAATAAAATTCATGTTCCAACCACCAACCAGTAACTATTGTTCATGATAGGTATATATCTATAGAAATCTTGAGATAGATCTATAATATTGTATCAGATCATATACTTCTTGGATGTTAATGCAGATTATGGCCACCAACGCCTTTACCTGAAAGCCACATCGCCAAAAATGGGGAGCAACTGCAGCTAGTGGAATGGGATGATTCCAGCTACTGGTTGTTTAAGATAGCTATGGAATCCATGGCCCATTTATATCCATGGCTATAGATTATGTGTGATTTACCTATTAAAAAAATGGTGATTGTCCATGGCTATGTTCAATAACCCGGGGGTAAATGATGTTCACATGGCAGACTGTGAACGTTCAAAAATCACACGGGATGATGTACATCTCCATCCTTTGCGAAGATGTATTGTTTCCATCATTCCATCTTTTTCCTTGTTGATCTGTTTATCTGCAATCAGACATCTTCATGACCCATAGCATCCATGTATGGTATATATGCTAACATTGGGGGTATATTGATGGTAAATGTTACCATATATAGCATACATGGATCCTATGGGTGATGGGTCATGGGTTTCTCCAACGATCCTGACTAAAAAATTGAGGCAAAGTTTAACAAAACGAGCCAAGTCACCCAGGACGAAAAGACCTCCTGTTGAAAGCCTGCAGCTGTGGCATAGCACATTTCCTTCAGCAGCCGCAACGCAATGGTAGACTTTCGCTTCATAAACTCCTTCATTTTCTCCTGCAATGAGAGATTCTGATTTTGCAAGGAAACAAAAAGCTGATTGTGGGAGTTCTTTTGCCATGGCATAGCCCATGTTACAAACAACACGATAAACAAAACGATTTTGTAATAGCATATTCGGTCCAGGAAATCCAATGCAAAACAAACGATAAACTCGAGTTTGACACAATACGACCTTCATAGACGGTTCATATCCTTTAATAGTAAACAATGGTATAAACATATTTATATATCATATATAAAACCAATCAATAAACGTATTAATAAACATCAGAAGACAATCATAAATCCAATGGCCCTTGACGCTTCTGTGAATGTCGCGGGAGCCTGGCTCAAGTCCACCTGCACTGCGATATGCTGCTCTTGTGCAGCCTCCTGCCACGTCTCATGAAATGCCTGCCAGTTGGAGATAGTTGCAGCAATGATTCAATGGATGGATTATAAATTATGATGGATTTAAGGGAGAATCATGGAAATCTACAGGAAACTCTGTGTTTGGATTTTTACCTTCAAATTTCTTCAAATATGGCGCTGGTTCCTGTAAATTGTTTCTTAAATCGGTTCTGGAAATAACGCTCAGCATACGATGCGCTAGGTTCATACACAACTAGAACCATCTGGAGATTTAAAACTGTCCAGAAGTGTCAGGCTAAATAAATTCTCAAGGGACAACTGCCATCCGCGGAATATGTGAAATCTATTTTTTCATCCTGTGCACAAAGGACAACTTCATACAACTTCCACAACACATCAGAGCAGGGTTCCTTTAAAAAAAAAGCCAGCTGCCAGCATTTCCGGTACCTGAAAGCAGCAGCGTATGAGGGCAAGGTCATTCTCGGCACAAGCCTTGGGTGTTTTACCGCATTTTGTGCGCATCAAAATGGGCGATGAATCTTCCACCAATCTGTCAACGTTGATCTATCCATTGCGTCAAAGCAGCTCTTCGGAGGATGAGCTTTGCATTCTCAATCTGCGCTTGTTTCATGTCCTTCATTTTGCCTAGCAAAACGGTAGGCGGGACAAGTTGATATACAAACGAGATACTGGGTACGTGCTCCCGGATCGGTGGATTCTCTTTGCCGGAATGCCATACAGGGGCGCTTTCGAAAAAGCACCAACTGAACCGTATCCATCGATCTGTTTTGTTTACCCCATAGGATCCATGTATGGTATATATGCTAACATTGGGGGTATATGGATGGTAAATGTTACCATATATAGCATACATGGATCCTATGGGTACCTGATCATAGTTTGACTCGTACACAAACTCTGTGGGAAGCAAAATGTCAGGACCTGCCGCAGTAGCTCCAATCGAAAACGCGTGATGGCTCCATCTATTGCAAATTCACATAGCTGTGGAACATGGCCCATTTCTGGTTGATTTTGCGGACCTATAAAAAATGGTATCAAGAGAGAGGGAAATGGGCATAGGATAATAAGATATAATAAGTGGATAGCCTAAGCCATAGGTTGCAAGTGTAATCATCCAAGACCCTCCCTAGAACTCGAACTATTCTGAAGCAGGCCCTCTTCTTGCTGCCATGGCTACATTGGAAGTCCACGAGCTTCTGTTCACCTCAGGCGTCAGCTGTCACTGCACAAGGATGCCAAGGATGCGATTGTGCTGGAACCATGTCGAACCCTTGATAGAATGTACTTTTATCACCCAACAGGACTGCTCCAAAGTCACATTCTTCGTCCAATTTCCTCTGCACCAGAATCTCTTGCCACAACCTGCCGAGCAGGTTCTGCTGTGGAAACTGGAAACGGCTTTTCAGCACTGTGCTGATCCTGTGGATAGGGATGGTTCCTATTGCCTTGCATAACATGCCAGCTCTCGTTTCATGGATACATGTGATGTGATGTTGTTGGAAGTGCGCGAGGTAATCCCACCCTTTGTACCAACAGCCAAGCCTTCTAAGTGGCTTGGATGATCTTAGATGATCTTAGATGATCTTAGATGGCCTGGTTAATTAAGCCTGTGTTAATGCTGCCAGAAGCATCTCTATACTCTCCATTGCAGTCTGGCTGCCAGAAGCACTCCAGCGCCAATTGTCTGCATCGCTCCACGGCCTGCCAGAAGCACACATCTGTGGCAAATTCTGTGGAGATGGAGATCCTTGGTCCAGTCATCGACGGTGAGAGATGTTGAGAGATGTTGAGAGTGTCTTTGTGCTTGGCTAAAATCTTTGCTTTCTATGCCCCTGCTTCAATGCTTAAGCTGCTCCAAGTGTACAGAAGCTGATTGGAAGGCGGCCCTGCCCCAAGCCTGTCTTTCCAGGAGCCGACGCAAAGCACCTTTACTCCGAAGACGGAAGGAGTCCAACAAGGCATCAGCAGAGACGAGCCTATCCAAGGCTCATCAAACAGATGATGTTTACAAGATTCCAAGAAGACTCTCCCGGTCGCATCTGTATAAGAAGCGTTGGCTTACTTCAATGCCTAAATTGGAAAGGAATGGGTCGTTTATACATGGATTGATTTATGTAAGGGAAACAGTATAGGAAATCGTTGTTTTGATCCAAATATATGTGTATATATATATTATATTATATTATATTATATTATATTATATTATACTATATATTATATATTATATTATATATTATATGTTATATTATATATTATATATTATATATTATATATTATATATTATATATTATATTATATATTATATTATATATTATATTATATATTATATTATATATTATATTATATATTATATATTATATATTATATATTATATAATATATTATATTATATATTATATATTATATTATATTATATTGTATTATATTATATATTATATATTATATATTATATATTATATATTATATATTATATATTATATATTATATATTATATATTATAATATATTATAATATATTATATTATATTATATATTATATTATATTATATATTATAATATATTATAATATATTATATTATATTATATATTATATTATATTATATATTATATTATATTATATTATATATTATATTATATTATATATTATATTATATTATATATTATATTATATATATATATATATTAAGTTATTGAAGAGAGTTCCTGTAGATTTTCCCTTCCAAATTGCGGATGATTTCTGTGTTACCCTGGCCTTTCTTGGTAGTCACATTGCACTCTGCGTTCAGCGCTGGAGAAGCGGGCATACACGGACCAGCTGCGAAACAAGACTCGAACCTTGGTTTCGAAACTGGAAGCGAAATCAGCTGCTGAATGCACCAGATATCACCAGATACATCCTGCAACTATAGGCCAAGTCTAGGTCATAGTGCTTTGAGAGCGATGGAGAGCGTAGGCTTCTTGTTATCCAAAATATTCCCAATTCATACCATCTAGTTATTTAACATATCCATGGAAAATCACCATTTGTAATAGGCAAACCATCTATTTCTATGGGTCATCTATACCATGGCAAACTGTTAGTCATAACCAGAGGGTAATTTCAGTGAGTCCAATACCAGAAGAAACCATATAGATAACACAAGATGCTGACGTCACCGGACGAGGCAACCCTTGGACACGACAGGAACCACCGGGGTGTTCCGACGCCGCGCTACCTTTGATACCTTAAGAAATCCAAAGCTGACAACCAATGATAGATAATGATAGATGAATATAGATTATGATGTGGTCTATATTTAGTCTATAATATAAACAAATCGCCAATGATAATCAATGACACTCAGTAAGACAAATAGCGAACAATGCTCAGTGATAGACAAACTAAACTATTTCAATGTCCTCAGTTTGACTACGACAAGCAGTCTAAAATCCTATCTGCTTTGTCATACGCTTAGCTGCCACAGCATCTACTTACAGCTTGTGACAGCTTGTGAGTTTGTTGGTGCCATCCAAAGTTTGGATTGTGAATAACTGTCCTTTCTGCACTGAATGGAGCCGAAAGCTGGCATATCCAATCGTCGATTCTCGCTATCTTCTGGAGGAATCAACCAATTTGTCATGGGTAATGTCACTGTGATTATATCACTTAACACTTCCCAAAAATGAGATGAAGAGATCTGTAAAGTTCCCCGAACATGCAAGAACAATGGAGTGGGTGTCGTCCTGGGAGTGGGGAAGATCAGTGGGAAATTGCTTGGAAAAGACCCATAGGTCAAGGTCAACATCAGGTTTTTGTGACATGTGTTGCTCAAGCTTCACCGTGACATGGTGCCACATGATGGCACTAATGGCAGTTTGCTGGCTTGTGTGCTTCATGACGTTCATGTAATATCATTAATATCATATAATATCATATTGAAACCTATTGAAACTGTTTGAAACCTATTGAAACCATACACTATTCACCATCCTAAGTCTTGCATATCAAGGTCTAAAAAAAAACCATAGTATGTCATTATCATCCGCAGCCGCAGATTCTGTGGTTGAAGACGTCAAGGAACTGATCCCCTGGAAGAAGTCTCGGCAAATCTCAACACCCATTTGCTGGACCTTAGGATTGGCGTCCAAAATCTGAAACGGTTCGCACATATGTTTTGCAGATGATATATATATATATATAAATACCTATGTTATATATATATATACATTAATAATATTAATGTACAATTCTATAGTTACATATATACACAGTAACGAATATGCTTTATATTCATATATATTTATTATTATTATTAGTATTATTATTATTATTCCCACATACCAACTATGGGATTCCACATAGCAACGCTTTGGTGGAAGGCTTCGACAAACCATGGGATTCCCATTTTTTTTCATCAAAGTCACTTCTCCAGGTTTTTGTGCCGCCCATTCTGCAGCTTTGCTTGTGCTGCCGCCAGCTTCTTACGAGCCCCAAGCGCCTAAGGGCGAAGAAAGGGGTCATCGTTCAGAGATGTTCAGAGCATCTGCCCGGGGATTGAATCAAGAAATAGTGGCTTAATGTATCTTAATGTGGGTTAGATGATGTTATATGTGTCAATACCTGGATAATGCTCTGTATCTTTTCAGCACACAGCATGCATATCAAGATTTTCGTAGAACTTCCACATGTGTAGTTTCACCCTCCCTTGAGAATGCTTGGGACCGCTGGATTGTCTTAGTATACTTATAGACTTATGGCTTATGGTATCGCTTTTTAAATTGCTTCAACCGAGTTGTCCATATTGAGGAATCACAAACAATCATTACTGCTTATATGAATGCTTATTGACTTCTTTTTTCCAATCTGGAAGCAACCAAGCTGGGTCAAGGAACTTCCTCTTGGCAGCGCGTCAATTTCCCTGTCTTCAAAGCATTGTCCTGGTAGCCATCGCGCAGGTTGAGTTGTTTACAAGCAACAACCTGTTCACCTCTAAATGTCACATGAATTTCCGTTGGACATCTTTGGACACAGAATACACAGAATTCACTGAATGGGTTTGTGACGTGACCTACTCATAGCTCTCAAGTTCCATGTATGTAGCTTCCCTCAAAAAGTTCCCCTAAACAATGTGAGTGCTGTTGCAAATTCATGCAGACGAGTGAATCTGACACGATAGAAGTAAAATGCAAAAATCAAAACCAAGTTGGTCTCAGAAATATGTGACCTTTTCATCAGCATGGGTATGCTTGGCCTGTTTTTTACTTTCTGTTTCATCCGCAGTCGTTTTTTTGTCCTTGCCCCAGTCACGAAAGTTTTCGCCAATCGCACGCAATTCAGAGCCTGCTTGGACCGCACTCATTCTGAACCTCAGCCGAGACGCTATGGAAATTCATATCATCCAAGGCAGGGTGGATGAAATTTTTGGTGTCAGCTGGCTGCCAGATCTGTCGGGTGTCTGAATGTAGGGATTTGGACTATCTACTTTGGCTCTGAATGTACAAGTCAAACAAAAAGTGCTCACTTTGAAGCATAGTTTCTCAGCGAATACTTCAGAAGGGTCCCATTTATATATTAATATATATATATACATATCGAATCATATCGATCCATTTACAACCATTTACTGCATAATATTGCATGCATAATAGTGATGGCATGTGCAAAATCGACACCCCAAGGGAACACCGCACGCATTTCCAGGAGAGCCAAGGGAACACCGCGTTTCCAATGCCAGCGTTCTCGGCATCAACCAGGGCATCTTCCAGCTGTGTAAGATCCTTCAGTAAAATTCATGTCAGGATTTCAGGCCTTTTCAATATTTTCTGGAGCAAACATCTATAAAATTCTATGGTCAATTTCGTCAATGCGACAAAAAGCGAAGAAACCTTGGCCTTCGATGACCTTCAGCGATTCGATCGATTTTGATGGGTCAGTGACCTCAGTGTCATCGTTCGGAACCCACCGAGTGTCTGCTTGTTCCAGGCTGGCACGAACACGGTCAGAGCCTTGCTCAGTAGCGGAATGGCCACTATGCAGAAGGGCAACCTACAAGATTTGATACCTGCAATGTGCAAATTGATTTTAAAACCAGCAAGATTGCATTGCATCATCACCAGAATAGAAACCATGCAAAGCGTGCTCGAGATTGTTTAAGTATGTCTAGTGAATTGTGAGGAAACGCTTCCACACTGCCATTTGGGAGGCGTTTCCTTGAAAGAAGCTACGAGTACTACCCAGAAATCCAATTATCCAATATTATCCAGAAGACGGAAGGATTCAAAATGATCCTGCACAGTCAAACAACCACCATGAATTTCTGGTCGGTTGGGTGTCCTGCCCAAGCAATGGCTGTTTACCCTTGTTGAACCTTTTTTGTCTGGTCTCAATGTGGTTTTTCCGCCATGTCTGACCACATTAACATTCGCTCGCCTGGCAAAGTGGCACAAGCCTACACTTATTTCATAAACATTTGAAACCATTCTGTACTGTAAAGGTACTAAGTCGTCCATATCCGGAAAACCAGAGGATGAAACAAAGACTATGACAACTTGCCTTGTCTGCTGACAGAGTCTACCCATCTATCCCAAATTGCCAACCATCAAATCCTCTGAGTACCTATGCCATGCAAACGCCCAAAAGGATTACTGTAGAACTACCCGGGCTTTTTGTGAACGGAAATGAAACTTTTTATCGTCTTTATCACTCTATACATCTTCCTGGTGGAACCTTGTGATTGGGGAGCTGTTGACCCTCAGGAAAGGTAGCTTGAACATGCTGTTTCTATTCGGACTTGAGGACAGAAATCCTGATTTGCGGCCCTGTGATGGCTCTTGTGTACTCATTGCTAATTTTTGCGCCTGATTTGTGGCGTGGTGTGGCACCAGAATGTCTTAAAAAAAAGTAAATCAGTGGCAAAAATCTATGTCTGAGCAGCTTGCATAGTCAAAAAGTCAAGATATGACTATGTCAAGGTTACATAGTTGCACTCCTCCCGACGCATTTGTTAGGATGTGTAGAGATGGTGGCTCCAAAATCAAACAAGGCCAGGGTCCATTCCCTTTCAAACCTCCAGAGACCACTACAGCATCAAAACCCCCAGAGATTCGAGATGCTGAGCACCAAATGTTGCAACTTCACGAAGAAGTCCTGAAACTGAGAATCACCTGCCAAAATTTGCCACTTGGGGCTGCTTCTGTCTGAAAAAGGGGATGACAGGTCCTCAAAATGCATGGACTTTGCGGAGCTCAAAATTTTCCGCTTCGCTGCTTAAAATTCACTTGGCACTGTCAACTTTGGCCTTGAGGAATCTTGGACATCAAGTTCTCAACTTGCTCGTCTTGACTCATCCTTGTCAATGCATCCTGGTGAGGCAAACAAGCATCAAACACCCTTGAAAAATCCTTTATCCACTCGCGGTCAACTGCATCACTTCTACATCTTGGAATCTTCCATGAGAATAAAACATACTTAGTCTATACTATCTCATACTTTGCTAAACCATTACGCTGCTGAGACTCTCACCCACTATCAGACTTGTACGTTCGTATGCCAATGCGTTCGATGATCAACTTGATGATCTTTGATGATCTTTGATGATCTTTGATGATCTTTGATGATCAACTTGATGATCTTTGATGTCATCCCACCCAGAGGTCTACCGGAATTTTTGGGTGTTTTCTCCCCCGGATTCCAGATGATTCCAGCATGCAGCTCCTGCTCATCCTTCGACACCTTCACTCCATAGCCATCCAACACCCGTGAGGCCGCGGCAATCACATGGCTGGAGCCGTTACCGTTGCCGTTTGCCACTGCAGAGGAGATGTCAGCAACCAGCAGAAAGTGCTGCCTCGAAACACAGCCGAAAGGTCTGTGTTTAGCTATGGCTGTGTTTATTTGGCTCTGATCCCCCCAAAAAAAAACCATGTTCAAAATTGGGCATCTGGAATTGTGAAACGATATCTCAAGATATCTACCTGGATATCTACCTGGATCTACCTGGAACCCATTCCATCGTCCCGGCATGGCGCCCATCTTGGAGATACACCTGGAAGACTGGTCTGCACCACACCTAGCGGGGCCCTATGGCGCCCTGGTGCCAGGTGACGGGTTGAAGAAGTTCCTCGCCATGAAGTCCAAAGCCATTTCGCGACCTTCGGCCCATCGCGTCTCATCGTCCTTGACTTCGTCATCGTCACCGTCCATATCGTCCATGGCGTGGAGGAAGGGAGTCCAGTTCTGAATGACTGGGTGACTGATGAGGTGACTATTGAAGTGGATAGTGTAGACAAAATGTAGTTCTCCAAGCAAAGGTTTATTTTTAAAAATGGTGCCATGGTGGTATGCAGATGTGTGTGCGTGCCTGTGCGCCAGTGTGCCTGTCTGATCATTTTTGTAAAGTCTGGTTCAGATACAGGTCGATCAAAGGCAACCACTAGAAGAAAGTGTTGACCCAATGTGCTGGGGGAGCTAGAAGATCGTGGCTTAGGTGCCCGATCATCATGTCTGCCAACTATTGCAAGCTACTTGGAACGATCCGCACGCAACGCGGTATATCAATGGTTCAATGGCAACGTAGTTAGGCATGACACCGCCCTAAAAAAAACTCTCACGACAGTCTGGGGAAGCACTTCCAATCTGTTTGTCAAATCGATGTCAGAGCACCAGGGAAGTGGCAAACGGAACTCGAACTTCTGCGTTTTGAAAAGAATTACACACCTCCGGTGGCTCTCTCTCTCTCAAGACTATGACGACTATGACTACCATCTAAACCGGTCACAAACAAGCAATATCAGGCAATATCTAACGAATCTAACATGTGTGTATAATTGTGTATACAATTGTATACATGTGTCACAACGTGCGTCACAAGTTGCCCATCATCCTCCAAAAACCGCCGGAGTTTCAATCTCCAGCTGGGTTTCCCAAACAGCTTCAGCTGGTCGACCGACAAAGCCAGGGTGAAGCTTGGGGCGATGTCCTACAGATGGGACATGATGGGACCCCTGGCAGGTTTGAGAAGGTTTCAGCCTTTTGAAGTTCCTATGTTTGAATATGTGTGGTAGATCTGGTAGATGATTATCTGATTATATTCTGATTATATTCTGATTATCTAGGCAAATGAGGGTCAGAAGATGAAATAAGATGAAATAAGTATGGCCGCTGAGTTCTGCAAAATCACCCCACTTGCGGGGCAGGGAACAAGACATGAGAATCGATGCATGATCAGTACCAGCAATGTCATTACTCCCCAAAAATGTTGGTGATGATCGGCATTGGTATGACAGTGGTCTGTGGCTTCCTTCATGGTCCATGAAGTGCAGCAATGATGACATGGACTACAAAGGAGGAACAGGGACTTGCACAGAATCACGAATCATTGCTCACATGACGTTGGCCTGTGATAAACATTGTGGAAAGGAAACCTGGATAAGGTCGACGCACACACAGCAGAACACTACACGATGCGAACCTGCTTTGTTACATGTGCCACGTTCAAAGCATGGTACTGATTCTATCCCTAAGGATCCATGTATGGAATATTTACCTACATTGACCCCTAAAGTAATTTAACATAATCCCAATGTAGGTAAATATTCCATACATGGATCCTATGGGTATGGTCATCAATTTCCGGGAAGATCGACGTTCCTATCCCTCCATTATTGGCACCTTCGGCACCCGAAAAATCCGCGTCCGCTCCTCATAGTATCGGTGTAGATCTGAGGCGCAACCCACCTTAACCTTGGCATCGTCCCGGATGTTCGCAAAGTACCTGTGATGTTTCAGGATCTTTCAGGCATCAAGAAAATGGGCCTCCAATGGCTCAACTTTTTTTGTTATATTTTCGACATGGAAATGTGACAGTAACATGGAAATTATCTCAGAAATGATGGCAATATATGGCAGTGCTCACTACCAGTCCAGGTTTAGATCCCACAAATCACAAGAAATCGATGCATCGCCAGTCTCACTGTGTTTTTGCACTGCGATGACGCTGTCAAGTTTGGGGGTGGACTGCTTTCGCTGCAGCGCTTGCCGAGTCATTTTTGCTGGTGAAGGGCAGGGCTCAAGCACTGAGCCCAAAGGCCGTCAATTTGAAGACAGCAAGCATGACTTTGCCCTGGATCCATATGTCGTGACGTGTACCTTCTATGCCTAAAGCATCCCAAAGCTATTGGCATCAACAAAAACCATAGAAGTATACAGACCGTATACAGCTTGCCGATGTTTCGTAACGCCGCTTGATTATGCAGAAGGATGCAGAATGGCTTTGTCATCGCCAGCTGCGGCCTGTGGCCTCCCGTTGAAAGAACTCCTGGGAGGTGACCCGGGTGCCATGTCGTGTCATGTGTCGTTCGTAAAACCATGTGATAAGTGTCTTCAATGGATTCAGTACGATGTACCAGGAGTATCTGCACCACAAAAATACACCGATGTGCGTTTGTATTTACCTGCATGAATATGAGTGTGTCTATGTGTCGATATTTATTCATGTGCACGTGTACATCAGCTTCGCCAGGCACAGGAATCAGTTGAGTTGATCCAGATTCGGACAAAAAAATGGGATCCCCCAAGCTTTCCAAACTTTCCTGTCCAGAAGCCGAAGGATGAAAAAATCAGTGAGCTTGATACATCAGCGTCAAGATGTGTTTCATTACTTCATTTTTTCGTTACATTCCGTGCCTGGCAGATGTTTCGATGGGCTCTACGAAGAAAGATTAGGTGCATAGGTCCGGTTTTCGTGGCGATGTCAGATGTTCTGTTTGTATCAGCATCCCCCACGAAGGATAAGTGTTTTTCCTGTGTGGCTGGCTAGTCTGGAAACTTTGACCTTGCTTGAGTTTGTGAAATCACAATCTACATAATGTGGTAAATCAATGTAAATCCGATAAAAACAATAATAGACTAGACCATCCCATATTACCATAAATGGTTGGTAAAACCCATCCTCAAAGGGTAGGTTTATTGAATTGTTGTTTACCACATTATGCGACTCTTCTTGTAGGATTCACATGTTTATGATACCGCTGGGAGAACACAGCCCATTTTCCGAATGGATACACTGCAAATGTATGAGCCCGATTGCCGCAACCTCAATGGGTTGCCAAAATGCAGGATGGTGCACTACTATGGAACACTTTGCTTGTGGATATTTATTGACCACTTTGCATACTACAATACATGCAATTATGCAACCACAGATGCTGCATTAAATCTACTCACCTAGTAGCGGTGCACTGTCCTAATGTACTGGGGAGGGCCAGTCCAACGATGTTCAGCCTATGGATATGGTCCTTTGGGAGTGACAGATTTCTAATCAAAAGAGGGATTTGTCTTTCCCTGTGCACGTCTCACTGTGAATGGCAGTTGAGTTTTCAGCTTTTCAGGCTTCGCCAAACGTACTGCTTCACTTACACAAGTAGATATGCAAAAGGATGCTGCTTGATGCTGCTTGATGCTGCTTCTTCAAGAGTTAATCACTATTTCTCTTGACCAAAAAAAATGGTCCAACTGTGGCTATGTGGCCACACAAGGCTACCACAGGACATGGACCAAGCCTCATCGCTCATCAATCCAGTAGTCCAACTTGCCCATCTTGAAGAAACCCTTGAACTCCTGGAAACTGCAGGCGAAACACCAATAGAATCCAATAGAATCCTATGGAATCCTCTGGAATAGCCCAGAGATCCCACTATGGCATCAAATCCAAGCTTCCAACCTGTGAATTCGTTGCAACACTATGTGTCATCTGAACTCATGTCATATCGAAAAAAGTCCAAAGGCACACATGCGTTTTTCGTCTTCAGTTTGTGAAAACACATATTGGCAATAATCGGTGTTACCAAGACTTTGTTGGGGTCAAAAGAGATTCTGGTTGGTGCTATACCTACCCCTCTGAAAAATGATGGAGTTCGTCAGTTGGGATGATGACATTCCCAATATATATATATATATATATTATATATATATATATATATTCGTCAGTTGGGATGATGACATTCCCAATATAAATATATCTATATATACGGAAAAATAAAAGCCATGTTTCAAACCACCAACCAGTCATAGATGTTCCACAAAGCTCTTAAATAATCTTCCATATGAGCTGATCATGTCGCAGAACAGAACCGGACCTGGTCGTTGTGGTCGACCAAGACACCTGGTGCGACCAAGGTGGGAATTCCAAACTCCACTTGGGATGCAATTCCACTCACTAAGTGTGTATATGGCCATTACAAGGGCCCCATGTCCCAATTTTATGATAATTTATGGGTGTTATTACCATGGTTATACCTGTAGAAGCCACGCCAACTACACCCTATTGACACAATACGCTGTCCTCAAAGTTCATGCCTTTCGAAGTCAATAAAGATTGAACAAAGAGTATCAAAAACGCAAAAAAATAATGCACAACTATCATGAGTGTGTGCGGGAAAATGGATACCTTTATCCGCTCTCCTAACAGTCCTAACCACTGGAATACCACTGGATACACGGATATACAAGCACTCCTCAAAAACCAGGGTTCACTCCTCATCTGCGCCCCATTCCAAACGATCATCTGCACCAACTTTGGTAGGTAAGTTACCAGCTAATCTGCGACAACTTGGGGCGACTTTGGGGAACCAAAACCAGCCACGCGGCGCCTACTTCGTTCTGCATGCCGTCTTTCCACTGTCCAGCATACTTCTTCCACCTGGCGGCGATTTTTGCGCGACTTGTCACTCAGAGTGCTGTTCTAAGGGGTTTTTGTCACATGTTAAAAAACAAAACTTAGAAAAAATTGATTTGAACATGCTTACAACTTACAACTTAGAAAAAAGAATGTGTTGACCTGTTTTCACGGTGAAAATAAAACCCCTGTCACTCTGAAGTGGGATTGGAGCGTCACCAACCGGGAAATCATGGTAAGTGCCTTAAAATGGGTTCCAGTCTGTCGTATGTGCTAATGTGATTCAAATTCCCAGTGGTTTTGGTAGACCTCGGATTGAGAGGTGCAGTTGAGATTATCTTGTTTTTCATTAGCCAACATCATCGATTGCACTTCATAGTAGGAAAAAACAATGGACTAAGGCTTTCGTGCTGACTTGTCATACACAAACCAAACAACACACTCAAGTCAAACTGTGTAAAAATTGCATAACTAATCACCCTATTCCAAAAAAACCTCGCCCGTTTATCATTTTGACGTTCAGTTTTTGGAAAACCGTGTCCAACATCATTGGATGGGTTAGATGCCGCACCAGTTTGCTCATTTTTATGAGGGTTTGCGGTGCGGGTGTCAGACGTGTCAGACGTGTCAGACGTGGCTCTTATGGAAGTCTCTTGGATGGGTTGTGGCCTATCACTTGGGGTTTCCAACAGGTTGGCAAGCAAAACTCATCACGTCTTTGGATGCTTGTGTCACTTTTTTGAAGGTTGTGTCTTGGCCAGGTTGTGTCGCAATCATACAGCTGGAAAACTGTAAGCTACTGTATTGCCTACGTTTCTACTGTTTCCACATCATTCCGAATTGCTTTGCAGCACATTCCTGTGATATGGATAGATATGGTGCCGTACCTTTCTCAGCAAGTGCCTGCAATTGGGATACACAGATAAGCACCCACCTTCCCAGAGCAATTGGCACTGATACCCGCTATGATATATAGAACATGTGTAATGTATATGTAAATATATACATGTGATTGTAGTTGGTACCAGTATCTATCTAGTATATATATATATACACATGCCATATATATAATATATAGTGTATAATATATAATATATATATATAATATATAATATATAATATATAATATATAATATATAATATATAATATATAATATGTATAATATATAATATATATTATATATTATATATTATATATTATATATTATATATATAATATATAATATATAATATGTAATATATAATATATAATATATAATATATAATATATAATATATAATATATAATATGTAATATATAATATATAATATATAATGTATAATATATAATATATAATATATAATATATAATATATAATATATAATATATAATATATAATATATTATATATTATATATTATATATTATATATATAATATATAATATATAATATATAATATATAATATATAATATGTAATATATAATATATAATATATAATATAATATATAACATATAATATAATATAATATAATATAATATAATATAATATAATATATATAATATATATATAACATATAATATAATATATATATGATAAATATTCTGTACAAATATATTGGTGGTTTGTATGTTATGAGATGCATTGCTACATGGCACAATCAGAAGAAAATCATGCTGCAGCGCCACACCTGCCGCTCATCCATGTCATGGTGCCATAGCCTTCTCGCCTCGGTTACAGCTTGCAATGTTGCTTTTGCCTCTCACTTAGGCATGTTTCTAATATATATATATATATGTATTTATGTTCGACATTACATGTCTATATGTAAATATATATACATAGAGAGAGAGGGGGGAGACAGAAAGAGGGAAAGAGGTGTGTACATTACGTAGGAATGTAATTGTACAAATAATTACAAATATATACATATGCGGACGTTTGAATATATATATATACACATGTGTGTATATGCGGAAATAGAAATGTTATATATGTATAAAGATGCGTATATGTATATACATATGTAATATGGATCGAATACACAGATGTATACACGTATGTACATATATATATATATATATGTGTATATGTATGTATATATATATATATATATGTGTG